TTCCCCTGACCTCTTACCCTTCCCTCCAGGTGGGGTGCGTGTGGCCTTTAGTGTTTACAACCCCTTCGTGCTGCCGTGAGTCAGCGGCTCTGAGCCACTTGGCGCTAGTTTTCCTGTCTCTTTGGTCCACAGCCGTCAGGGTGATTCTCGGTATCTACAGACAGAGGGGCCTTTTCTTGTCTCAGAACTCAAAGGAGATATTATGTCATACGGCCGGGGTTTGGGTATAGAGTTACCTTACTGCTTTGGAAAAGAGTCTAGTGTGCCATGTCATGGTGGTCAGTGTGTAGAATCCCAGCATTAGGGAGGCTGAGGCCGGATGACTCAAAACAAAACTTTAAAAAAGAAGGAAAGTTGGGGCCAGAGCGATGGGTCAGGGTTGATAATCCCAGCTGTTCTTCCAGAGGCCCCTGGTTGGGATACCAGCACTCATTTGGTGGCTAACAGTGGTCTGTAGCTGCAGTTCGGAGAGATAGCCTTTGGTCTCTGTGGGCAGTGCATACGTGTGTTACACAGACAAACATGCAAGCAAAATACCCAAACACAAAAAATAAAAATAAGTCTCCAAAAATGATTTAAAAAAGAAAAAGTTGTGAAAGCCCAGCCCTTCTGAGGTGCTTTTGATATGACTGGGCCCACATTGCGCACACAAACGCAGTGTGCGGCCGTCCAGCCAGGCGGCTTGGCATATCTGTCATTCACACATTCATCATCTTATACTCCTGCTTTTTGTGTTTGTTTTCCCCTTCAAGACAGGGTCTCACTGTAGCCCAGGCTACAGATCACTGTGTAGACCAGGTTGGCCTCAGACTCGCCTGCCTCTGCTGGGATTAAAGGCGAGCCCTACTACTCCCAGCTCTTTTATTTTTCCTTTGACAGCGTCTCCTGGAGCCTCAATTGGCCTTGAACTTGCTTTGTAGCTGAGCTTCTCACCCTCCTCCACGGCTCTTACCTGGGAGGACAGGCAGGTGCTGCCACCCCAGCTCACAGTGTTGGGTTATTGGACAAGGACTTCTTTCACCAGGGCAAGCACTCTGTTACCTGAGCTGTGCCTCTAGTCCTAATGTGTTTTGTTGCTGTTTGATTGTTCCTTTGGCTCACGTAGCACAGGCTGGCCTCAAGCTCACAACACAAGCGAGACTTCTGGTCCCCCATCCCCATCCTGAGTAGAGTGAGGTTGCAGGCCTGCACCACTACTGGTACCCCCATCCCCGTACCCTCGGACCCCCCTCCCCGTACTCCCCCACCCCACTTCACCCCCGTCCCCATCCCAAGTGGAGTGAGGTCGCAGGTGTGCGCCACTACGTCAGCTCATGGTTTGTTTCCTGAAGCAGGGTTTTGCTATGCAGTTTAGGCAGGCTTCTAACTCCCTGTAATCCAGGCTGGTCTCAGCTTCCTGGGATCACAGGTATAAATAACCACACCTGACAAGAGGTTCATACTTCCAAAAAAGTAATTAATTTATTTTGTGTATGTGTACCATGGCACACATAGTAAGGTCAGAGGACGAGTTCTCCTTCTACCGTATGAGACCTGGAGATTGAACTCAGGGTTTTCACTTGGCCGCAAGGGCCTTCAACTTGTTAAGGCATTTCTCTGGCCCAAGGGTTCCGTACCCTTGAAGTAGGCCTACAGAAACGGGCATGCCAGACCTTGAGAGCAAACATCCTATATGTTTGCCCCAAAGGCCTGACAACCCCTGCTTTTTGTTTCTCTTGTGGTACAAATAAGAAATGGGGAAGAGAGTGGATTGCAAAAAGAAGCCTGTATGTGGGCTGGAAATATAGCTTAAGCTCAGTGCTAGAGTGCTCACCTCGTGTGCACGAATCCTGAGGTGCCGTGGAATAACCCTCTGGACACCGAGTATGTATTACTCTCATTGGTTAATGAAGAAGCTGATTGGCCTATACTGTGGCATGGCGGGGTAAAGTTAGGGGGCGGGGGCAATCAAATAGGATACTGGTATGAAGAAGGGTGGAGTCGGGAGAGACACCAGCCAGCCACTGGAGGAAGCAGGATGTGTAGAAAAGGAGTTAAGCCATGAGTCGTGTGACACAGATTAGATAAGAAATATCTAATTTAATTTAAATGTCAGAGTTAGGTAGTAAGGAGCCTGAACTCTTGACCGAGCATTTGGTTTTTTGTTGTTGGTTTTTTTTTTTTTTTTTTTTTTTTTTTTTTTTTTTTTTTTTNTTTTTTTGGTTTTTCGAGACAGGGTTTCTCTGTGGTTTTGGAGCCTGTCCTGGAACTAGCTCTGTAGACCAGGCTGGTCTCGAACTCGCAGAGATCCGCCTGCCTCTGCCTCCTGAGTGCTGGGATTAAAGGCGTGCGCCACCATCGCCCGGCTTGACCAAGCATTTGTAATTAAGGCTCTGTCTTATGAGCGTTGGCTGCTCTTGTAGAGGACTTGGGTTTGGCTCTCAGTACCCACCTGGCGGCTCACAACCATCTGTCACTTCACTTGCAGAGGTTCCGGTGGCCTCCTAAGGTCTCTGCAGGCTCCAGGCACACACATGGTTCATGTACATAGTCAGGCAAAACCCCCATACATGTAAAATAAATAAATCTTAAAAAAAGAGCAAAGTTGTCTTTGGCCGAGTATCTCCCTAGTCTGACCTGTCTGGTAGAGGGAGGAGGGTTGCATATCTAAGCAGGGTCATTGTAGTTTCCCCCAATTTTCCCTAAGAGCAGCCAACGCTCATAAGACGGAGCCTTCTCTCTAGCCCTCATGTGCAGCTACTAAAGAGGCTGCTGCTTTGGTTCTGTGGTGCTGGGAACTGAATCTGGGCGTAGGTGGTGCTTTCCTGTAGTGCTGCCGTTCTCAAATGGTCATCAGAAGTTTAATATTAATTATAAATGCTCGCACTACTTGATAGCTGCCTCTTGCTATGTCCGATTCTTCCAAACCCCTTTGCTAGTTTACTCAACTCTGCCTAGGACACTTCCTGACAAGAAGCACGGTGGCTTTCTACCTTGTGGCTCCTACTTGGAGCCTAGTAGTCCTCGGCTGGGGCAGTTTATCAAGTGTGGAGCCAGGCTTTGATTGCTATGACTGCGCTGCTATCTGTGCCTCCCGGGTGGAGGCCGGAGATGTTGTCAAAGTTCTCTACTGGGCTGGACAGCTCCTACAGCAACGGCTTCCCCCGCTCCAGTTATCAGTGCCTGGTAGGCCGTGTTTGTTCTCAGTCAAGCCTGATGACCTGATTTGGCGCCTGGATTCCACAAGGTGCTCCACGAGCTCACAGAATAGAGATATGTTTTCTGAGACAGGGTCTCATTGTGAGCCCTGGCTGACCTGGAACTTGCAGTGTAGACCCAGGCTGTTCCCAAACTCACAAGGCCTCTTGAGTGCTGGGGTGGAAGGCAGGTGCCACCATGCCCCAGCCCACCACCCTACCGTTTTAAAAATAAGCTAGTTTAAGCCAGAAGGTGTGGCTCAGTTGATAGAGATCTTACCTAGAATGTACAGCCCAGGGTTCAATCTCCAGCAACACATAAACTGGGCACAATGGTACGTGCCTGTAACCCCAGAGCTAGGAAGGTTGAAGTAGGAAGAGGAAAATGTTGAGAACTGTTTGGATTATTTAGAAAACCCTATCTCAACAGTAAGATATATACACTATATATACATACATACATATATACATATACACACACATACACATATTTATAATTAGCTCAGTAGCAGGGTGCTGGTCCAGTGTGTGTAGTTCCCCAGCACCCAAATATCAGGTTATAATAATTCTTTTCTTTATAGACAGGGACTCATAGCCTGGACTGGCTGAAACTTGCTATTTAACTGAGGCTGGACCAAACTCCAGATTTTCCTGCCTCTACCTCCCAAGTGCTGAGAGTACAAGTATGTGCCATTACAACCAGCTTGATAATGCTTGAAGTGTGTGCACGCCTCCTTTGGCTGTTATAGAGACTAAACGATCAGTTAATTGGTGTAAAAGTATTAGAATAATGCATGACACCCTCAAATGTTTAAATAAAAACAAAACCAGCCTGTCTGCTATTGTAGATACTATCGTCTAAATGTGTTTGACGATTTTGAAAGCTCGGGAGATTAATGGGAACAAGGCTAATGTTATCAGTTCTCTCTGTCTGCATTATCAGCACCTGGACTTGTCTCTTTCTTTCTTTCTTTTTTTTTTCTCGAGACAGGGTTTCTCTGTGTAACAGTCCTGGCTGTCCTAGAACTAGCTCTATAGACCAGGTTGGCCTCAAACTCACAGAGATCCACCTGCCTCTGCCTCCTGAGTGCTGGGATTAAAGGTGTACACCACCACCTGGCTAGCAGATGGACTTTTCAAAGTTCCATGCCATACATGGAGGCACATACCTTTAATCCCAGCACTGGGAGAGTATGAGTTCAAGTCCAGCTAGGGCTCCATAGAGAGACCCTGTCTCAAAACAAAACACAGAAGTTCCTGGCTGAGGAGATGGCTGTCTAGTTAGCATTACTATTGCTGTGATGAAACACCAGGACCAGCCGGGTGGTTCTAGGCCAGCCTAGTCTACAAGTGCTAGTTCCAGGATAGGCTCCAAAGCCACAGAGAAACCTGTCACCTTCATATCCAGAGCCTCTTTGCTTATTTCTTTAGTGTAGAACTGTAAAAATTATTATTTTATTTTGAAAATAGGGGCAATGAGAGGCAAACCAGCCCTGATATCCTTTAGGGCATAACTGTCCATTACCAGAACATTCTGTCTCTGACTACAGTGAGAGCCCAAAGAAGCGTAAGCAAACAGGTAATTGTTGAGTGTTCTGAGAGTTAACGTGCAGGGACAAGGTTGGCGGAGAGGAACAAGCGTCTTTCTGCCAACTGGATGTGTATAACTGCATAAAGACTAGCCAAGCCACGAGGGCCGTCTCTGCTGATCGATCCCATAGCAGTACTGTGTCCTGAAGGGGTGAGAAAATGTCCGTGAGGCCCCACATGAGTGGGAGGTAACAGGAAAATACACAGTTTTATGAATTCCTCTTTCCCCTCCAGGAGTCCAGGCCTCTACATGTTGTGCTGGGCAATGAAGCCTGTGACTTAGACTCCATGGTGTCTGCTCTCGCCCTGGCCTTTTACTTAACAAAGGTGAGTACCGAGAAACAGTCCCTTAGAGTGAAAAGATTTGGGTTCAAGACCCGGCTCTACCATTTATTACTATTTAGTGTTAGTGCTGGGCAGTGGTGGCACACACCTTTAGTCCCAATGCGCAGGCAAAGGCAGGTGGATCTCTGTGAGTTTGAGGCCAGCCCAGTCTACAGAGTGAGTTACAGGACAGCCAGGACTGTTACACAGAGAAACCCTGTCTCGAAAAACAAACAACAACAACAAAAAAAATAAAAATAAAGAATTTTAGCATTGGCTAAATTGAAGTTAAGCCTCAGCTAGGTATGATGGCCCATATCTGTAAGGCTTTGGAAGTGGGAGACAAGAGGATAAGGACTAGCCTATTTCATAAAAAAAAAAAAAAAAAAAAAAAAAAAAAAGGACTGGAGACATGGCTGGGAGGAGCAGAGCTCAGTTTTCCAGCACCTGTATGGTCCATTTATAACTCCAGTTCCAGGGGATCCAGTGCCCTCTTCTGACCTTCACAGGCACCAAGCATACATGTGATACGCATATAGTACCCAGGTCAGATACCCAAACATAAAATAAATCCATAAAAAAGAAAATAAAGTTGGAGAGAGATTGGGGTAGCTCAGTCAGCAAAGGTCTTGTTGTCTTTCTGTGTAAGCGTGAAGACCCGAGTTGGATGCCACAGGAAAAGGTCAGGCATGGCGGCACTCCCTGCTCATCCCAGCACTAGGGCGCAGGCAGGCAAATCCCTGGGGCTCAGTGGCCACCGCTTAGCCTGCCTGTTGAGTTTTGGGCAAGTGAGAGAATTGTCACCCTGTCTGGTGGCAATTCTGGTGCCTTAGGAATGACACCTGAGAGTCTCCTGACCTCTATGCATGCTTAGAGCAGGTACACATACACCTGCACCTGTGCACAACACAAGATAAATCAAGATCCTTGTCGAGTTCTGTGTTAGTATCTGAATGTATAAATCTGTTCTGAGGAATGTCTAATGTCTTTCTGTTGCTGTGAAGAGGCACTATGACTCTGGGAACTCTTTTTTTTTTTTTTTTTTTTTTTTTCTCGAGACAGGGTTTCTCTGTGGCTTTGGAGCCTGTCCTGGAACTAGCTC